ATATATATATATATATATATATATGTGTATATATATATATATATATATATATGTATGTATGTATAATGTAACACGATGATATAGGCTTGATATGACGGTGGCACACGTTTACTAACCTTTATCCCTTTTCTTCTCTCTTTCACTTTGTTTTTTATTATTTTCCTTCCTATCCTTCTCTCGACTCGATAATTCTTGGAACATTTGATTAGGCGGAGAGAACGAAAACTCTCTGAAACGATTTCGCACTACGCCTACGTAAAACTTTCGAGCAAGAATACTTTGTGCTTAGAAAATTAAGATTCACGGAAACGAAGAATATCAGGTAAGAACGAAGGTACCTTTGATTATCGTTATCGGTTCGTTTGGTCAACCTCGTCGTCGTTGGATTGTCTGGATTTTCCATGAAACGTCTAAAAGAGATTTACCAGAGAGAGAGAGTCTTCGTTCTTGACAAATTTTCTTTTTCCTTCCTCCCAGGAAATTCTAACGTTTACTTTGCATCTATTTCGTTGAACTGTTCCATTTTCGATCTGTACTTTTGAACATACTTTTGAAAGAATTCGAGAAATGACGATTCCGTTGTTTGACGGCCGGTGATTTCAACGGCCACACAGGAAACGAACTAATTATAAGAGAGGCTTCATATCGCTACTTTTATCCTAATTGATGACGATCGAGTCGAGACGGACGAAAGAAGGATTTATTCCTCCGACTAAATACCAGTGACCAAAATTCCGGCGCCGTTCTTTCGATTGCACAGGGCAGAGAAGCCGTTCGATGAGGTATTGCTGCGCGTTTCATTCTCGCTTGTAATGTCGTTCTCGACGATTGTCTGCCCTGCCTACGGGACCCGATGCCCTTCGATTCCAGTGTGATCTAGCTTCTAGGTCGGTAGAATTCGCGCGAACGTTAAAGTCTATCGGAGAAAGGAGGGTTCCTTTTTATCTTATTGTTCGAAAGGTTCGCGTCAGAGATCGAAGATGGAGAAAAAGATGTGTCGTGTACTAGCAACGAGAAAGAGCGTTTTATCGACGAATCAAAGAGAGCATCTTCTTCTTTTTCTTTTTCCCCCCCTTTTTCTTTTTTAAAAGTATTAACGATAAAATTTTACACTTTCAACATGTCGCTTAACTCTTCGTACGGCAGACACGACGATATATGTATACTTCATTATATATATATACATATAATATGTATACATATAATATGTATACAGCGAGCAAACGCTGGACGAAAAAACGCGTATCGTTCGTATTTTGAATCCTCCGCGAGATTTCCTTTCCCTTCGAAGCTCGAAATGGCGAACTTCGTCCACGTTGGTAGCTCGCAAAAATTCTCTTCTTTTCTTTTTTCCTTTTTTATCTCTTCGTTCAATTCACAACACGATTGCCCGGGATATTCGCGACTCGAAGAAAGAATTGCACGTTCGCAGCGAAACGTTTGCTTCGATCGTTCGTCGTCTCTATCACTCGGTCAACGCGTATTCCAACGTGATTTTACACGGTTTTCGTTGGACGTGCTGTTGCTGGTCGCGTGTCCCTTCGAATCCCCGCGTGAAATCGCGGCCCCGTTACGAATACGATAGTCATGCAAATCTGACGCTAGCGTTCGCAGATTAGACTGTGCTGAATGCTCGACGAAATTCGTTTAGCGAGACATAACTACGTATAACACGTAATATAGGTATTACTCTATACTAGTTGTATGCTTGGGAATAGGTACAGAACCAGCGGGGGCTATAAGTGGGCACGTTTTTCTCTCTCTTTGTCACCACGAGCAGGACTATCGAAGAAACATCGACACACGATTATGTATAGAAACAGCTCTAGTTTCTCTGTTCTCTCTTTAGTGCTTCCTAAAAGATTTCGTTAGCTCTTCTGTTCCGTGCTCTGTCGGATAAGCCGTCCGAAATTTTTATATTCGCGCTGTGCACGCTGAGGGGAAATACTCTCTCGAGAACGGGTCCTGTGAGCGTTGCGACAATCGCGACGATTACCATAACGCGTTACGAACACGGACGACGTACATTTGCATCCAACAAATCTCAGTCCATCGTTCACTCGTCGATCGTAGTTTATGACAATCATCGCTGACCATCTGAGTTTATGAAGGTTATTTCGACTTTGCTTCGAAAACAGTGATTATCACCAGTGTCCCTTCCTTCCTCTCTCAGGACGATCGTCGTAACCCTATATATCCTGGATGCGTTCTTTCGATGACGCACGAAGAAAACGCTCGATGATTTCGCACGAATTGTGCATTTGGCTTGCGATCGAGGATCACCTTTGGAACTAGTAGCACAGAGTGATAAATGGTAATAGCGTAATAGTTTCATCTCAACAACTTCTCGATGGAAGATCGAGTCCGAAGTAAAATCCACGCGATTGAATTCCACTCCATCGTTAGGCTTTCTAGTTGAAGCTCGATTAGATACCGGTGCAATTTGCTCTTATATAGACTACCACCGAAGAAAACATCATCTTCTCACAACAAGTGATTCTCACGCTTGCAGGTGGATCGAGAAAGAAAGAAACGGAGCTAAATCGTTATTACGATTACCTATTTCAACACCGTGATCGATAAACTTTGTAAGAGTTGCAACAATATCGAAAGAATGTAGACGGGAAGTAGTACGAAGAAGAATAATTCGAACCGGAGGAAACAAATCGTTACCATACCTCGCACGAAACAGCTATAAATGCTCTAAAAGTCTTATCTATAGATATACGTATCTATTCGTGACGTATTTACACGTGTAAAGATCTCATAACAATATTTGATAAATATCGTTCGATCGGGGGATCGACGAACGAAGGGCTCTCCAACAATTTCCATAAATATCTGCAATGGCAATGTCAACGTAAAATAGACAAGTGAATGGGGCTGAGAAACTATATGGAAGTCGTTCATGCGTTAACAGTTCTCTAGACGCTTCACTGTAATCGGCAACTCTCTCTCGGCTAACGTGTTTATAATAGTATTCTACAACTGTATACATTGCGTTCGCGGCGTAATTCACGACTAATATGTACATCATACGATCCGGTAACGATGCCGTAAATTATCTATCACACGATACACACGCAGCCCAGTCGATGAAAGTTCAACTTTTGATTCTACGAACCTAGAAGAAAATCTCGTCGTAACTGATTTTCTCGCGAACAACGTTTCCTACGGAACCAAACAGCGATTCGCGTTGAAGATTTTTCAGCGATAGATTTCGAGGGGAAAAATGCGTTTTTTTCGCGCGTCCGAACTTTCTTTCGTGTCATCCGTTTTTTTTTCTGTTTTTTGTATTTTTCTTTTTTTTTTCTTCCTTTTTTTTTTTTTGCATCGCAAGATCATCGAGCATGCACGAAACGTTCGTTTATTGTCATCTTGAAAGCTAATCAGCACCACGGCTCGAGTTTCCCTTCCACTTGTCCTCGTGTATTTCATTAAACTTCCAAACAACCTCACGGCCTATTCGCTCACATCAATGTCTCAATGGCAGTTCACAGGTATTCGCGTATCTTTTCGTTCTTAACTATATCTTTTGTTCTTTCTTTTCTATTTCCTTCCTTTCTAGTTTGTTCGTTACTATTTCTTTATTTTCGCTTCTTTTCAGCTAGAGTTCTAGCGCTCGTTATACAACGATGATTTTTGGATCCGTGACAAAAGATCCTAAGAAAAGGAAAAAAAAAAGGAGTGAAACTGTTTGTTTGCTCGATCTTTCTTTCAACTGATTGCTCTTTTCTGCGAACGATAGGGAATCAATGAAGGAAGGGAGTACGATATTTTTCAGAGTTGATCAACAGAGTGATTGGTTTCACGTTCCTCTTAATTATCTAAGGACAGGGACACGTAATTTTCCTCAAATCAATATATCGAAAGTGTGAGATGTTTCCGAAAGGGTGATTCTATTTTCCTTTACTCTCTCTCTTCCTCTCTCTCTCTCTTTCTCTCCTGCTTGATACTCGAATTGCAGTCGAATTCAAAGGACGAAGAACGAACTGCTACCCTTACATCGTGTGTTCATTTCTTTAAATCCTTGCAGATAAAAAGATCGACGACCGAATGAAACTCGACGTCGGAACCGTAAAAAGATCGATTTTAATCGACAAACAAAAAACGTGTAATTTTTGTATCGGAAACAGAGCATCCCCGGATGATTCTGGGACACGCAATCGACTCTACTGAAAAACTACCTAATATACTATCGTAACAAGCGTAACCGATCTTCCATTGACACCCTGTTTCGATCATTTTTGTTCACGAGCAAATTGTTCCTCTGAGAAAAAAAAAAAAACCCTATCGATTTTCGTAGAGCGTTATAATTACCGCGCTTCGATCGAAAGTTGCGCATTGTTCGCAGCGAACGAACGACAAAACGATTACGAGCACGTGCGTCCTTCACAGTTATTTTTCCGATCGATCGAACAAACGATTATGTCGATCGATCCCTCCTTGTATTTTCCAGACGAAAATGTAGCCGAGCTTTTTTAATTTGATTAAACGAAGCTACCAGTCTTTCACTGAACGATCCTTCTTAACCGATTCCTTGGAATTGTAGCAAGGGCGACGTGGATGATGGTACTGTGGATGATGAAAGTAATGGATGATGATAATGACGATTATCATGACAAATGACGATCGGTCATGAACGACACGGGAATACTGTCTGTTGTATTGTCGCTGTCGATGTCGATGAGGTATCTCGGTTTGCCGATTTTTTTCTTTCTTTCTTTCTTTCTTTGCTCTGCTTTTTCTCTAAGGCTCTAGAAATGCTCTAGATTATTTCTACGGTTGCGTGTGTGTGTGCACGTGACAACATCGAAGATCGATAGCACTTTCGTTTTCTACGTATTACGATCGTGGCCTGGTCTACTTATCTGCTATCCAGTTGCTGGCTCTTGTTCGTCTGGTCTCGTTTGCTTCTCGGTTCCAATTCCTTCGCTGTCTCGTTTCTGCGGCGAAAAACAAATGCGATAACTTCGTGGAGAATTCGTCTCAGCACGGTTCTTGAATTAACGTAACGTTTCAGTGATTCTAATGCTATCGTGTTTCTCAGAATTACTCGTGAAAAGGGTACTCACGAGTCGGTGCAACTGTCGCCATTCGTCGTAGCCGGTCTCGGAGAATTCGAGTCACTGCGACGATCGTTTGGTGTTCCTTCGTCGTTGTCGTCGTCGTCGTCGTCGGATGTTTCCAACACCTTCGTGAGTAATTGCGGTGTTCCTTCTGAACAAATCGGGCTGGATTCCACCGACAGTTCGATACTTTTCTCGTCCTAAAACGGGAAATTTCCATTCCTTCTTGAAAAGAAGAAAACTTCACATCGATCTGTCGTCGAGAGCTGTAAGTTACCTCTTTCTTCAGTGTCTCTAATAATCTTTTCCTGTCTGCTGTCAACCGATCCGCTTGCTCGGACTGAGCGGCAGTTTTTATCCCGGAAAGTTCCAGCAGAGCCAGATGCGCGTCTTTCTCGGAGACCGCGGCTTTCAAAGCTTCCCGTCTGTCGAGAAAGAAATAATAATTTTAGATGGAACTGTGTTCACTTCGAAATTGCACCTTGAAATTGCTTACTTCATTTGATGGAGATCTTCGAGTTGCGCGTTTCTCTCCTCGGCGAGACATTGAAGTTTCTTCTCGTACTTCTGCAGTTTCGAAAGAAGCGGTTGACAAGTGATGCACTTTAACGCCGAAGCTGTTTGTATCGAGGCGATTCTTTGTTCCAACTTAGCTACCTGACAGAAAAGAAAGGAAAAAGAAAATAGCAAATGACAGTCATGATCCTTTTTTCTTTTTTACAAAGCTTAGTCTTAGTCAAATGTATTTTTCTGTACCTTTTGAAGAGCTTCCTTCTTCAGTTTCTCCTCGTTCTTCAATCTTCTTTCGCTGTCGCTCGTAATGACAACGCTTTCGCGGAGAGCTTCGCTCAGTTCCTCGATTTTGCTTCTTTTCTCTATCAAATCCTGCGAGAATTGTCGTTCCTTCTCTTCCTTTTCCTTAATCACATTCACAAGTCCCTCGATTTGCTCCAGATCGATCCTTTCGCTGAAGGCTCTTTCGAGGGAGTCTACTTCGTCCTCCAGTTGTTGAATCCTCTCGTCCCTCACTCTGATCTCTTCCTTTAAGACTCCAATGTCGTCGTACTCGTTGAGTTCCTTCCTTAGAGCAGCTATCTCCTTCTTAAGTTTCGTCATCTCTTCCTTATTTTCGACGATCTGCCGCTCGTACTCCTGGATCTTGTTGTCCTTTCCAGACATGGCAACCTCCATCTTTCTCATTTTCTGTTCCATTTCGTGCATCTCTGAATCCCCTGCGATCGTTTGAGCGCGAAGTAAATCGTCCGATTTCGTTTCTTTTTCTTCGTGATCTTTTTGCATTTCCTTTCCTGCGAAATGGAATTTAGCTAGTAACAATTGTATTACACCAAAAAACAAAGGATCGGGATTAATATTAAGATTTAGAGACGATCTTACCTCGATGGGCTTCTTCTTCGACTCTCAACAGTTCCTTTTCCAAATACCCAACGCGACTTTGCAACTGATCGATCCTGCACTCGCGGTCTTGCAACTTCCTCTTCAGCACGTCCACGTTGTGCTTCCTCACGTAGTCTTCCAACTGCGTGACCATCTCCTCTAGTTCGATAACTCTTTCCCGGTCGATTCTAGATTCTTTGCTCTCACCGTTCTTTTGTATCCATCTCTCCAACTCCTGTATCCGTCGATTTCCAGCGGTCACTTGACAACGAAGATCGTGCAGCTCTTTCACGTCCGGATTTTGCTTCAAAAAGTCCTCGAACTCGGCTACCGTGTCCTCAAGCTCCTCTATTCGTCTGGCTTTCCTCTCGATCACGATCTCCATATCTCGCACGCTCTCAGTGTCCGCGTGATCCCTGAGGAAATTCTCCAAGGACTCGATCTCTTGCTCCAGCTCGGCGATTCGTTGGTTCTTCCTTTCGATTTCCAATTTCCAAATCTCACCGTTGTCCTGCCTGTCGTTGCCCTTGCATCTCTTCGACTCCCTCATCGAACTCGTCAGGGATCCTATCTCGTTCTCCAGCTGCGATATGCGTTCGTTCTTCACGCCGATTTCCTTCTTCCAAGACTCCTTTTCTTTCTTCAGTTCGTCCATCAGTTTCGTGCTCTGGGCGCATTCGTTGCCACCGTTCTTCGCGCCATCTTTCCAAGCTACCAGTTGATCCTCCAGCTCGGCAATTTTCCGGTTCTTTAGTTCCAATTCCTTCTTCCAGCTCTCGTTATCCTCCAGACTGAGGTTCTTCGCGTCCTTCATCCTCTTCGTCTGCTTCAGTTCCAGTTCCAATTTCGATATCCGTCGATCTTTCGTCTCCAGCTCGATTTTCCTGGACTCGTGGCGTTCACCGGCGTTTTCAAGAACGGTTCCGGAGGAGGTTTCTGGCTGCTGTGCGCGTGCATCGGTGTGACGTGGACGTTGTGGTGCGTGTGCGAAGGCAACAGGTGTAAACGTAAAGAAAAATTGAACGAAAAGAAGGAATATGGACAGCCGTAAAGATGATTGAAGTGGGGGTGGAAGGTAGGGAGGGAGGGAAACACGGTGATTCTTTTGGCTCGTGCGCATCGAATTGTTTCGTGCTGAACGACGTAAGGGTGCGTCTCTCAATGGCTGCGAACGTGCCATGTAACTTTTGGATTTTAGCGTTTCTTCTCCGACCAATTCTTTCTCTTCCCTTTTCGGTTTCTTCCGTTTCCGTTTTTTTTTTTTTCTGTCTCGTCGCTCTCGTCGAAGCTGTCGTTTCTCGACGGTTCACGCGACGACCGTGAAAATTCAACTCTCTAAAAAGATCTGTCCCTCTGTTTCTTTTATCCCTCTGCTCGCCTCAGTTCTCTGCCTCGGCCTTACACCATTCACATGCTTTCTTTATATGTATATATTTATATTTATATATCTACATACGTATATCTCTTTCGTGTACGTGTATATACACATGTACAGTACATGCGTCTGTCGATTCTCCTGCGTAATATGTATATACATATATTCATATTACATATACATGTACATACACGGTCGCATCGTTAATAATTAATTAACATTATTGTAGCCGTTATCCTTTCTCTCACTCTCTCGCTCTCTCATCACCTTTACATTAATATTTATATTTATATATATTATATATAAATGTATATATATATCTATATTTATATTTATATATATGTATATATATTTATATATATATATCAGTAATTATTGTTATTATCGTCAATATTTTTTCGCTATCAATTATTAAATATGTTAACAATGGTCGCAGCGTTACGTAAAATAATTATATATCTTGACAAGTGTATCGTCAATGGCGAATCAGTACGATCTCTTTTCGTTCGATTAGTTTCGTATAATAAGTTCGTGTACTTGTAAAGTTCGTTTAATATGCAAATTGTACTAAAAAGAACGGAGAAGGCGTCCCCAACGAAAATCGACCTTAGAACAAGCTTTTTAGGAATCCGGTGGGACCCGCCTGTATTTTTCATTTTTTTTTTTTTTTTAATTTTGTGTCGTGATTTTCGTATTCGATTTTGAAATTTTTTTTTTTTTTTTTCAATTTCATCGTTCGGAAACGCAAGTTCGTTTCGCACGAAAACAAATCGGTATGTACACGAGCCATCGTATTTAAATAATGGCGAACAATCAAATGCAGACGAAAAGCAAACACGACGATCAGGCAAGCAAACACATACATAGGTCGTACGTGTACGTGTCGTGTCCAGGGTCAGCGTGAAAAAAGAAACAATTGGTTAGTCGCAATTCTATCGATACTGATGTTTGAATACGGTTGAAATAGCGCAAAGGAACTGTCGCAGGAAATCTAATGGAGATTGTTCTTTGCGCGATTAATAATCATTTCTAATGATTCAAGAATTATTCAAGTACAGGAATCGAATGGAACTGGTGAAATTTCTAATTGATTTTAAAATAATTGTAATTTTCCGACTATTATCCTTACTGTTTCGAGAAAACTGTTACGAAATATTTGGTGACACTTTCATTCCAATTTTTTTGGAAATAAAAAATTTAATATAGTTTATTCTGTTGTCGAAAAAAGTAAAAGAATTTCTCTTATTAGGGAACATTCGTTCTATTATTTGAACAAAATATTTAATATCTAATAGATGTTTTTTTTATGTGTTTTATTATATATGTTATTTTATTATATCAATATTATGTGATTTTCATGATTGTAAGAATTTATTGAAGTATGAGATATAAAATTTTAAGAACAATACAATACTGATGAAACATATAAAATTATGTTTTAAGTCTGCGTTAAATCAGTGTCTCATATCGAGATAAATTTTTCTACAATGATGATGAACTTCTTTATTTTGAAATACTCCAAGTTAAAGAAATTAGTATATTCAATATCTAGTAAATATCGAAATTTTCTTTCATATTTGTTCTTAACTATTGAAGTCAACTGACGGTTCTCTTCATCTTCACGTAGATACATATAATTTAATATGAAATGGAGTTTATTTTTTTAGATTTGTAGTTGATGAAGTTTATCGAATTATTTGATGAAGTTCTATTTCTATTATTGAGAGAATTTAATAAATTATTGGTAAAACGAATCAATTATATAAAAACCACAATTTGTTTCCTCTTCTACATTTGTTTTGGTTTCAATGCAATAATATGTTAATTAAAAAAGTACTTCTAACTTTTATATTTTCTATAAAAATACATGATCTTTCAGTACTTTTAATAATTAAATAGAAAATTACTATAATATTACGATAAAATCAAAATATTAACGTTAAAAATTCAATAAATAGCCTTCACTTATAAAAGTTGACAGTTTCGTTCGATCCCTGATCAAATATGATCAATTTCATTCTATAGTATATGATAAATGTGAAGAAAGTTGCATACTGACCTCTTGTTGTTGTGCAGTTGCGGCTTGTTTCAACTTGGCTTGTGCGGCTTTGAGTGCACTGTGAATAAAAAAATCGTGTCGTCAACGACATATAGCATTTGATAAAGGAATTTAGATTTCAAAATGCTCTTGATACTAACTCTTGAAGTTCTCTGATTTGTCTCTCCTTGGCATTCTGCTCTTCTTGAGTCATCTGCATCAGGTGTAGTAACCTCTCGGTCTCGGCTGAGCTTCTGGTCGACTCTTCTTTCGCTTTCTCCAATTCCTTCTCGGCGTTTTCCAGAGTCTTCTGCATTTCTGCCAGTCTCTTGTCCGGCGACCCACCGCTCTTCATTACGGAAAACAGATCACGAAATGATGTTCATTACATAGAGTATTTGTGAAAATTGTTCACGAGGTCGGTTTCAAACGTCTAAATATAATAATATAAAACTTTCGTATGTACACGCAGTGACTCCTATTATTTGGACACCATGATGTTTGAAAGATTATTGTTCTATATATTTGTTTTTGAATTAATTGAAATTATTCTAATTTTGTTTATTTAATGCACACAATTTTTTGCATAAGATTTATATTAATTTTAGATGTAATATATATATTTTATTAATATATTTTATATAAAATTAATCGTAATTTTCTCATTCGAATTTTTTGCAAATTTAAACTTCTTATGCAAAATTGACTTATTACTTCTCATGCAAAAATATGTGTGCAATGAATTAATAATATTTATTTTTCTATTAGTCGGAATAATCATTTTAAAACATTAAGAAACAAATAATTCATTAACACTGCTATAAATAAATATGTAGAGTAATAATATTTGGAAAATTAGTGTCCTAATGGAAGTCATATCGAAAGAGGTTTGAATGTAGTTTAACAATGTGTTCATTAAATAATGGATTACGTACAGTGTTTATAGCCTAAAATTCAATTATTATTTATATTTAAAAGAATGATTTAATTCTTTTCATCGTTCAATGTATAAACACATTGTGTTCTATAATTTTCACTTGGTTCTGTTTCTACATGGATATTTTTATGTATATTCGATTTAACACTGTTTAAAAAAAAGCATCCAATTCTGTTTTTATACGATCCAATTTAATCTGACGCTGTTCAAACGATGCTATTTTAAAGATTCTCATTTTGCACACGAAACTTACTTGCTACGTTTTTCTTAGATTTTTACTCGAAATCTAATTAAATTACTGTTCTATTATTTTATTATATTAATTAAATCTAGTTAAATTACTGTTATTTTTCTTTTCGGAATAAAGTAGCAATATCGAATTCTGAGAATTTCGAGTCATCTGTAGGCCTGACTAATCCCATAAACTATACTAGACTAACGAGTTAACCTTGAATATATAAAGTTAATAATATTCTTATCTCGTCAATAATGAAGTGTGCCAGTTTTGAAGTAACATAATCGGGTTTCACGCTTGGAACTAATCTGTTAACACATACCAAGAATAGAACAGATTTGCATATGCTAATCTATCTGCCATGTAGGAACAGAACCGGGTGTAATGATCGACGAACAAAATTACTCTTTGTAACTGCTGTTCCAACTGATCCATCTTCGCTTTCCGTTTCTTCAGATCCTGGTCGAGACTTTGGAGCGTCCTCTCCTTCTCCTCTATCGTTCTAGCTTTCTGATCTACGGACTTGGCTCGTTCTTCCGTCTGCCTTCTCTGTTCTTCCATCTGGCGTTTCTGCTCCTCCAGTTGTCTTCTCTCTTGTGTAGTGTCGATACCAGCTTTCGCTGCGCCAGCTTGGAGTTTCTTGTTCGCCTCGTGCAGGTCCACCTGCGACGAAACAAACATTGTAAACTTTCGTCGCTGCGCGTCCACGAGACGCTACAGCTAGGCAAATGAAAGCCGCTTCGTTCCGAACCGCGACCATTACGTCTAAACGTGCACTATGTTGCCGTTGACTTTTTCAAGTGCGTCGAACCTTTCTAACAACAAGTTGATTTAATGCAATTCTTTCAAAGACAAATCGTCATGGTCACGGTGTTCGTAAATGAGAGATGCAAGGAAATGTAAACGCAATTAAAAAACAAGTGACAACGCGCAGATGAGAAGAAACTCGCAGTCCCTGGTAAGTCTAGCGACGTTCATAGCGAAATATAATATGTACAGAATACGTATGAAAAACGTATGCGTCGAGGTAAAAAATGCGTCGCGTCGAGGTGAACGTACATATACAAAAAGTGCGGAACGCATTCTGTGTGCATCGGTCGTGATTCATTCTCCAGTCTGTACAAATAATCGTGAACGCAGACACAAGGCTCAATTCTCGTGGTCATTCGTCGCATCTCACAAAAAGAGAAGAAGAAAAAAAAAAAAGAAAAACGAAGACAGAAACCATTTTCTGTCTCTGGCATCTCGAGTACAGTGGCATGCTCCCAGAACGAAACGAAATAATAGTACTCGTAATAAGATTGCTCATCGTTGCGATGTCGAACGCGCAACAAAACTGTAGCATTAACCAGTCGATTGAATCGGGCGAAAGAGAGGATCGTCGCGATGCTTTTTTCACTTTCTCGACGTCTGTCTTCCCAAAAAGATGGAAACGAATGTTTCTTTTCTTTTTTTTAATCGCTTCGATCGTCTCGTCGCCGATGCTGGCGATAACAACAATAAACACAACGATAAAAAACGGCATAACCATGGAAAACACAGTCGAGAGAATTGAAAGGAAAGAGAGCAATGAGCGCGAATGGCTGTGCTTGATTGAGAGTAATCGCAAATGGGGGGAAACGATCTCGTGAAGAAACCGGTGAGGTGTTCGTAATGGTGGATAAGAAAGAATTCGAGGAGAATGATAATGGTGAAGGCGATGTTGCGCTTCGCTGTGAAGTGTGACGGACGCCCCGAGATATACATGTACGCATAAGATGAGAAAGATTGTGCGGATGCATCATGATTTGGTTTTTTTTTTTTCGATTTCGTCTGTATACGTATATATATATGTTATATATATGTATAGATATATACACGATATCGTTCGATCGTTGTCGTTCTGTTACATAATATGCATAATATACATATCTGATATATGATTTGATTGTTATTATTATTATTATTATTTTTTTTTTGTTTGTTATCTGCGGCGTGTATAATGAGCTGTAGGCGAGTTTCTGCTTCGTCGACGACGAAGGCAGAGGCTGCGGTTGAAATGAGAAGACATAGAGAGACGAGGAGGCGCGATGATGATGTGTCGGCAGCCGGTCGACAACGATCAGCCAATGATATATAAATATATATATATATGCAGAGACATAATGCAGGCATGTTACGGTGCGGATGTAGGCTGTAGTAGTGTAGGTTAGCGCGCGAGCGAGTGCAGGCCGTGCTAACCTGATATTTCTGCAGTTCCTGGCACAGCTTTTCGAGCTGCCCCTGGAACCGCTCGCGCTCGACGCCCGCCTGCTTAACGTTCTCTTGCGCTTGCTCGAGTTCCTTTCTCAACCTGACGATCTCCTGGCCGTTTTGCTGCGGATGCTGTTGTAGCTGCTGCTGTTGTTGCTGTTGCATCGTGATCTGCATCTGCTGGATCTGCTGTTGTTGACCGTGTAGCTGCCTCTCGGTGTTCTGGATACGTTTTTGCAGGTCAGCAGCCTGCCTCTCGGCCGTGTCCGCCCGCTGTTTCTCCGTCTCGCATAGCTTCTTCCATTGCTCGAGCTGTGCCTCGTTCACGCCACCGGCAGCCGCGCCCGTGTCCTTCGAGGCGATCTGCTTCTGAAGCTCTTGCACGCGTTTCTCGGCCTGCTCGGCCCTCTGCCATTCCTTCGTCTGAGTCTTCGTCAGATTCTGCACCTGCTGGCTCAGCCGGTAAACCTCTCGTATCTGTACCTCGAGGGCTTCCTCCGCCGCTCTATCCGGCGTCTGCATGTGTACCCTCTGTTGCTGCAACTGTTGCAACCGGCGAACCTCCTCGCGCTGACGCTCGAGCTCCGCCTCGTTCGTGTTCAACTCCTGCTGGAAGTTGACCAGCATCTCCTGCGACTTCTCCAATTGTATCACCAGCTGATCGCGTTCCACCTGCAGCTGCTTCGCCTCCACCTCGAGCTTCTCCTTCATTTTCTCCGAGTGCTTCTCTCGGTTTTCCAGGATTGCGGCCATCTTGTCGCGTTCCCGTTGAGCGAGCTGTAGCTCGTGCTGCAAGTGCGCAATCTCCTCGCTGCCAGCGAGCTGTTGCTGCTGCTGTTGTTGTTGCTGCTGCTGTTGCAACCGTCTCAGCTCCTGCCTGAGTGCCTCTCGTTCGTCCCTGAGCAACTGTATCTCCGTGGCTAGCCGTTCTAGCTCCTTCTTGTTCGTTTCCGTGGCCTCCTGATACTTGGCCGTCTGCATGTGCGCCTTCTCGAGCTCCTTGGCCAGTCTGCCCGCCTCGAGCTCCACCTGGTCGCGCGCGATGATCGCCTTGTCGAGGCTGGCGCGCAGTCGTTCAACCTCGATACTCGCGCTCTCCGACCTGGTCTTACCCTCGGTTTGCATCAGTCTCTCCAGCCGTATTATCTCGACGCGGAGCTTTTCGTTGTCCGCCTCGAGAGCGTCCGCTCTCGCCTTCACCTTGTCGTCACCCTCGCGACTCCGCTCCTGCGCAGCAGCCGCCTTGTTGGCCTCTTCGCGCGCCCGCTCGAGCTGAAGCTGCGTCTCGTGCAGCTTCGTCTCGAGCTCGGCGTTGCCCGACTGCGTCCTCTTCAGCTCCGTTTCACGGCCCTTCAGACGTTCGCGCAGCAATTCCATCTCCTGTTGTAGCCTACTACCCTCGCTCTGCCACTTCTCTTGCTCGTACTGGTATTTACCTCGCACCCCTTCCGCACGTTCCTGCTCGGTCTTCCTCGCGCGTTCGAGCTCCGCCAATGTCTTCTTCAGCCGATCGCGGAGCCGCTCCACCTCCAGCTTCGCCCACTCGTGTTCCTCCTTCTGCCGTTCTTGGCTTTCCTGATACTTGCCGAACCTGGCCGCGTACCTCTCGCATTCCTCGCGCGCGCTCTCAGCCTCCACTCGCAGCCGTTCCGTCTCCGCCTGCGCCTTCCTCACCTCGGTCTGTTGCCGATCGTGTTTTTCGTACATCTTTTCGATCTCCAGCTGCATTCGTGCCAGCTCTTCCTGCGTCTTGTCTGTCGCGGCCTGAGCCTTGGTCACCTGCGAGTGAGCGCGCTCCAATTCGAAGCTGATCCTCTCATTGTCCGCGGTCAGCTTGTCCCTCTCGTTCTGTAACCTGCGTAGCTCGATCTGAGATTTTTCGTATCGCTCCTGAACCATCTCCAGGTCCACCGTTAACCTGTCCAGATCTTCCTTCGATTTCTCCTCGTGCTCTTTCGTGCGACCCAGCTGAAGAGCCGCCCGATCGTACATCTCTTGCACGCGAGCCAGCTCCTCCTGGGCCTTTCTCGCTTCGTCGCGACTCTTCGACGCCAACATCTGTTGCTTCTCCGTCTCGAGCTCTAGCCTGTCCTTGTCAGCTTCCATCACCTCGATACGATTTTGCAGCCGATACACCTCGCTCTGGGCTCTGTCGACATCGCAATCAGACTCGTGATCAGTTTTCCTATATTTCAGATCGAACGGATCCTGCTCGCGATCGCTCACCTGTCGTACTTTTCCAGCATCTTCTCGAACTCTTTGTTCGCGTTCTCCCGTTCCTCCTGAGCCTTGTTCATCGAGTACTGCGCTTTCTCCACTTTCTCCTTCAGAATCTCGATCTCGGTCATGGCGTCGTCTCGTTCCAGCTGCGTAATTCCAACAATCACCGAATTTCGAATTTTGAATCGTTGAACTTCTCTTCCCGATATATCTTACAACAAGAATAGAGGTTACTTACGGTTAGCTTCTGATGACTATTGTGAGCTTTCTCCCATCTTTCTTTCACTAGCTCGAGCTCCGACAGTAGATTCTCCTTGTCCCGTTGCATCTTCGTTACCTGATTCTGCTGGAACTCCATCCTCTCGTGCAATTTCTCTGTCTCTTCCTGAAAACCGTCCCTCTCCTTCTGCAGTCGTTGTATGATCACCTGGACATCAACAACATTTATTTTCGTCGAACGTTTCGATTTGCGTCAATCCCGCGTTTCTGTCAACACCTTTTCTCTTACCTGAGCTTTCTCGTATTTATCCTGCAACCGGTCCACATCCAATTGAATCGTTTCCCGTTCTTTCTGCATCCTCGTCGATTGGCCGAGCGCTTTGTCCAGTTGGCTTTGCAAGTTTTCGAAATCGTAGTTTTGCTTCTCCCTTTCCATTTGCATCTGTACGGAATCGAATCGTTTTGCTGTAAATTTTCTATCTGGTCTTTGCTTAACTCGACTGTGCATTTAAATATGAAATATAAAGCGAGGATATTTGAAGAAATACAATGCAATGAAAAAGTGAGGAAAACAGCACGGTTGTATTTATCCACGTTGTACAAGCCACTTAGAAGCTAGATTGATCTACTTTATTTTTTCAAAATTATTTAAATATACGTCTAAAATGTAGTGGAAGTTTTAATGACTGCAGATATGACAACACTTTTAAGAGAGACAAATTTTCTGTACTTTAAACTAAACTTCTAACTTGAAAACCTCGACTTTGTAAAACATCAAGTTAATTTTAAGATCATTATTTCGAAATGTAGAAAATTTAGAAAATCGTGTATATATTTAGTTTTAGAAATTTTGTGACGGCTGGATATAAAAATAGTTTCGGAACAAAGTCACAGGTTTCATCTCGATGCAGAATGACTTCTAAATTTTATTTTAAATTAGCCATTCTTATAGGAGGAACACCTTTGTTCAAAATTGAAGAAATGAAATATTGCACAACAAAGAATCAATCTATAATCTGTTAATACGTGAACTTTATTACAAGATACACGTGCAATTGAAACATTTTATTATCTATCAAAGGTATTGAATATTAAAATTAAAGTTTGTTCTAAGATTTTTAGGTAAGAATGTATGTGCAAGAGTTTAAATTATAATAATAAATTATATTTAATTATATTTACTAGTTCTATGTTTTCTTACGAGAGATAAAAATCTGCAAAGCTGCATTTCTTTCGTTTTGCAAGGTATCTGGATATTCGCCTTTGTAATTTCAAGCCAAAGTTTGAAGTTTGGAATTTGAAATCGCTTTGACGCGAAATATTGTACCTTAATCAGAGCTTCGTAGCAAGTATAAATAAAGTAAACTTTCCCGTGTAAAGTTTTCACTAAAACTTTATATTACAACTTTAACAAAATTGAAAGAATACGTATTTTTAGAAACGTTAAATGAAGATATTAATATTTGGACACCCGGCTGATTTGTATCGTAACGTAACTCAAAAGTTTTGTAATAAATTTTGCCGTTATTATTTTGTATTACTTAACTATTTTTTAACATTTTATTTAAGAATAAAAGGAATAAATAATAATTGTAAAAAAGTATTAGATTTAAGCAAGTGACAGTAAATAAATATGAGGATTAAACATAGAGTGGATGTAGAAAGTATTTGTATACTTGATGAAAAATAGTCAGTATGAAAAAAGACTTTGTGAAAAGAAAGAGATCGTCATAAAGGAGAGACTTCAATCTTCAAGATCGCAATGAGTTTATAGGAAAGAGTTATAGAAAAGAGTTTTCATAAGGTTCTAAGACTTTGAAGTCAATTTTTCATTATTAATATAATATTTTCCACTGTAGATACTATTAGGAAAATAAAAACTTCTAAACTCGACAGAGTTAACTAGTTTAGCTTCTCTGTGGCTTGTACATATTAACTGTCGCAGTATGTAATGTAATTAATACTTGATATTGTTATAATTTCTACGTGAAAGGTAAACATATAAATAATCTCTTTGACTTACCCTGCGAATTTCCGTCTGCGTTTTGTCCAATTTCTCCTGAAGCTTGTCCACTTCGCTTTGCGTTTTGTCCAGTAGACTTTGCAATTTGTCTTGCTGAAGTTGTGCTTTGCCGAGAGTAGCCTGTGTCCGTTCCAATTCCTCTTGTGTTTTCTCAAGTTCCGCGATTGCCTTGTCCCGTTCCGAATGTAGACGAGCCACCGAAGCTTGCGCACGATCGTATTCATCTCGAAGACTCTCTTGTTCACCCTGAGCGTTTTCCAGCCTGGCCTTCAATCTGTACACCTCACCCTGACTCTTTTCCACCTTCAAAAACCATCGGGAAACATTTAATTTTATCATTTGTAATTGAATTCCTTGATAATAAATTTAAATATAACCTCAATAAATTGACGAAAGTATTTCAGATATAGTTACATCTCTGGGTATATTGAATTTTTGCTGGATAAACTGATCAAATATTTAAGCAGTCGTTTAAAAATTAATTTTCAACAAGTCTCGTTATCTTGGTCTTTTTCTTCATTTCTAAAAATCATTGGAAATGATTTTAATAATTTTTGGTATTTAGCAATTATTATTATACTGTTGGTTACAAAACTGGCGAAAGTTACAATTTAAGTTAATATCTTTTAGCGAGGTTGTTGGAAAATTCTTATAATACTAAAAAAAATTAATATTTCTCCTTAATAATTTTATCAACTATTAAGTTGATTTTATTAGGCGTTTTTCAGTATAGAATATTAATATGGATTTTACTCGAAAGCGTTCTTCTTGTATCGTACGGTACAATTTTAAATTAAATTTCATTACTTCGTCAAATCATTTGAAATACATCTAATAATCACATAATATCTGTCTCGTGATTTACATTCGTGAAATTAATTTTCACTCTCAGCCTTTGAAAATAATCGAAAAAATACGACACACTTGTAATCACATTGAATTTTCATTGGATCGAAGAATCTCATAATACCACCGCTGTTCTGTGGTTTACGTTCGCGAAATTAATCTCGAAAATTTCGCATCTCTTAACAGCTGCGCCGTTGGAGAAAATACACATATATACACGCACGTCAGCCTCGAATCATTATTAATACGGATCTAACGGTGTTCCCCGTTTATTACGTTCCGTTAATTAAAATCAATTTCTCTTCTGCTCGTCGCGAGTACCAACTTACGTTCGTATCGTACGTGTCTATTAATGCTTCTACCGTCGAGTCGATGGTTTATTATCGGACGAGGATGAAATAAATACATCGACTTGAGTAATTGGTCCGAGGTAGAAAGCTTAACGATCTAAAGAGGATTCTAAAGAAAGACCTTTTCTGGGGAAGGGAAGAAGAAAAAAAAAAAATATCAATCGATCGAAACGAAGGGGTAACGAGCAGCAACCCTTACGGAGTTGCTCGAATTCTAACCGAGTGTCGTCGATTGCACTCGAGTATGAAGCTGCGTGCAATTTTCCGGCCACTTAGCTGGCAGTTTCATTACTGGTTCGTTTCGCGTCATCGACGAACATCGGGAATACCGAGAAGAACGAAGGCGTGATTGGAAATTAGATTCGACCACCGCAGTGTGTACAGATTGGTGCCCCCGGATCGCGGTGGTCTTGTCAATCGATCGCGATTAAAGGCGATTGTTCTTGCTCCTTGGAAACGGGACAGGGTAGTCAAGTAGACTCGATCGTTCGTTAATAGAGGCGGAACGATCAGCTACAGATTATGGGGACCGTAGTTGGGGACACTTGGATTGTTAATCGGTCGGTAAGGCGGGTCCCTTGGCGTGTATCAGATCCTTTATCAAGTGATTACTTGATTCAACGAACGTTCAACATTGATTCAACGGTTGGGGCGATTATCTACGCGAGTTTTGCAGATTCGTTTGGTTTCGAATCGATCGTGCGGTTTAGAAGGTTTGTTAATCCATTCGAGTTTGGTAATCCAGACGTTCGGTCACGCGATATGTTTCAAGCGATCTATAGAAATTTACATTTGAGCCAATTTTTGAATTGCGGTAAAAAAAAAAAATCATTCAAAGAGATGAATTCTAGGATGAAATAATAGACGAATTTTATAAGCGAATTTAATTGGAAAACGAATTTCGTAATCATGGTCGCGGTTGACGGAAGTATTTGAATCATAGAAGGACCTTTATGTGTACATTAATCGTGTATAATAATAATAATAATTTCTGTGAGTTGAGTTTTACTGTAATAAAAGTTAATAAAAAATATTTTGTGCAATACATAATAATATTTATGAGCACTTCCTATAAATACTTGTGTGAGCAACTATAGATTGAAGAAGTACATAATTAAGAATAATTGAAATACAGAAATAGGAAATATAATTTTATATTAAATCTAGAGTGGCTAGTAGTGATTAATGTTGTAAAAACATTTTATAAATTTCTTACAAGAACTTTATATATATATATATATTATATATATATTATATATTATTGTAAATATATATATATATATATATTTATATATATTACTGTAAATTCACGAAGATACATTTATCTACATTTTTGGTAACAAAACCAAAGCTGCCAAATAGTATTTGTTACAAAAAAGACCTTGTGTGTCAATTTGATATAATAATATTGAATATCAGTATTGGATATTCTAGTTTCTCGAAAATGCAGATATCTGTAAGTTTGGAGTCTAGGAACATACTGAAGTATGTTTAGTGTCTAGGAACAAATGACCGTAACATCGGACAAAATTGAAGGAAATAAGATGAACATAAAATAAAACTGAATAACTATGAGAATAGAATTATTACGAATCCTTTAATTCAATAAAAACTTAATTCATTTATCGTTAATGAAAGGATTCGTCAATTTAACTATTTATCTCTTCATTGTATGAATTTTAACATAAGTACAGCGGATTGTTGGGAGATGAGAAATGTGACGAGAGTTGGGAGCCGTGAGAGATCGTTTTCTAAAAGCACAACGTAGAAACAGTACGTTACCTTCTCTTGGAGAGCAGCGGCCTCGGCCTTAGCTCTTTCGTTGTCAGCCTGCGTGACCCTGAGCTCAGCTTGTGCCCTCCTCAGTTCCGCCGCTGTCTTTTCCGCTTTTTCCGTGATCCTGTCCATTTCCTGAGAAGAATTCAGCGTGCTTCTGCCGTAAGTGCTCTGAGACCTTTCGAGATCGTGCCTGAGTCTCTCGTTGTCCAGCTCGAGCCTGGTCATCCTCTGCTTGGCAGCCTCCCAGTCGGCACCGCTGCGACCAACTTCGGACGCAGCCTTGTCCAATTCGGCTTTGCTCTTGCCGAGCTCCGACTGCGAACTTTCCAGCTTCGCCTCCAGTCGGTCTTTCTCCGCTTGCGCTCTCTCCAAACGGGCGCCCAATTTTTCAACCTACCGCGAACAACGTTCAGAAATTGGCTAAAGAACAGCATGGAAGAAGCTAGTCGATGTCTCGTTTTGTTAGTAAATCGAATGCCAAGATTATGTTAAAGCACGAGTAGGAGCTCGAGTTTACGATTATTGATCGTATCGACTGAAACGATACCATGGCGTATCGTACCTTTGAACGTAGTTAGAATCGCCAATGCGCTTCATAAAGGACTATGTGCATTCCTGGCCATGAGTGAACACTAACTAGCTTAGAGGTCATTATGCCGAACATGATTTCGTTACGTTGCTTTTACATTTATTAAAAGATCGTGGGAACTTTCAGAATAATATAATTTCTATCATACTCGTTTACGTTCATGTCGATCTTTTAACGAACTAGTAACGATATCTTTGTAAAAGTGGGTTCAAATCTGTTTATGTTATTGAATTAAATTAAATCAACATAGTGCGATAGTGTGATAGTGGGCACAAGCTGACCAATATTTTCTCCAAAACGAAGTTTACCTATGTTTGCTGATGTAACAAATTTTACATGCATGATTTTTTATATACAAAAATAAAAGTTCTTTTCGGAAAATAGTATTATTTCGTTACGAATTCATGAACTTAGAGACTGCGTTCATAAAATGAAAGAAGAAAAGCTGTGAGAAAGTAGAATAATAAAATAAAAGAAGTTTTTTCTTGATACAGTTTCTTAAAATACGGTTGAGTTCTAAAGCTTGCACACACACACACACACACACTTTTGCTGTCAGTTTATTGTAATAAAATTAAAATAACCGAGACTAAAGATTCTCAGTATAGATTAATTTGTTTTCATAATTTGTTATTATAAACAAAAATATTGAGAAAGGAAAGCAAAAAAGACACTACAGGGTGTCACTTGTTTTCATTCACGCATGGTCAGAAATGTATAAAAGATGCCGGAATGTCCTTTATAATTGATGGTGCAATTTAGTTTGTTCCAAATTGATTGGGGAGGATGAAGAAAAGAATCTATTAAGCTACCACAGGGACTCACTTCAGACTCGAGGGCGTGGATCTTCATTTTGTACTCGACGATCTCCCTCTCGTGTAATTCCCTTTCTTCCTGTTTCTCCTGCTCCGCCCGGTCCCTCTGTTCCCGTAATTGTGCCATTTGCTTCTCTTTATCTCCTATCGCCTCCTCGAGGCTACTGAGCGCACCTTCGCTGCTGCAGTGGTGCGCCTGCATTGCCGTTAGACGCGCCCTGGCCATGTCGACCTGGTTGTCCTTCTCCTTCAGCAGATCCTCCAGATTCTCGATCTGAAGTCACAACCACTCTCGTCGTTAGGTGTTCTATTTTTGCGTTTCTCTCCTTCTCGAACGTGTGGCGATCGAAGAACGAAGGGAAAATAAATTGAAGGGGAACATCCAGGAACGATGAAATTCTATTGCGTTAAAGGTGATCAAATGAAGCGTTAGTTCCAGTTAGTGGTTAATTGGATAGAAAGTCTTCCCTTTTTATAGTAGTCGACGCGATTTGGTAGTAATAGAGTATTTCAGGGGTTCCCAAATTGTGGGTCACGAGCTGATATTTAAGGGCAAGTTCAAAATATGAGAGAGGCTTTGTATATTCATCGCGAGTGTTCTACTTATCGAGAATACGTGGACGTCGAACTGCAGTTATAATTAATGCAGTTACGTCGACGTATATCGCGTGTGACGTGAAATAATAAAACTTAATATCTTCTATCCTAATTATTCTGACAATTTCTTCCTTCCTTTTGCAACAGAATAAATCGTTTTGCAAAGAATTGTTGTTTCCGAAAGTGAGTTTCGGCCCATAAAAGTCTGGGAACCACTGGTGTATATTCTTTTAACCCTGCTGCGTTTCTCAAGTCGTTCTTGAATCAAATGTATTTTTAAATTGTTAAGAAATTCCTTTAATCCATAGAAACAAGAACGAAGTTAGATTCTTCGTTCGATTTTTTGCTACACTGTAATCCAAATTTCATTTACTTAGAAGAGAAAAAGATTAGTAAATCGATTGTTATTATTCACTCCAATTTAAAACCTGGCAATTAATAATTGTTACATATGAGTTATTCAATATATTTGCAATGTTGTATTGACAAAATATAATGGAGAAACAATGAGAACGTGAATATATGACAGTTTTCAAGACGAGAGGGTCAAAGAATATTAATGAAGGGTTGAAATATCAAATATTTTTGTTGCCAAATCAGAATATAAAAGTTCAAAAAACTGCAGCAGAGTTAATCTAATGAAATTAGAGTATTCTGTAGTCTGTCATTCGCAAAAAAGCACTCGATGTTAAATTGGTAAATTCTTACTTACCTGCCATCTCGCATCATCGATCTTCACAGCCATTATTTACGGCTCGACAAGACATTTACTCAATCAGGCACTCGCGATGTACAGCGACAAATAATCAACGGTGTCTACCGCGAAAGAAAAGAAACGGAATCGTATAAACAAGCGTATTCCGCGCGTGCGGACACGAACGTGGCAAAAAATAACAGAATGGAAATAAATTAATTGTCAAGCAATGTTCTCTTCAGCCTACGCATCGGTAATCAAGGACAGCCTGTCGATCCTGATCGTACCCTTTAACCCTTAAATGGACTTTCAGTTTTAGTTTAATAATTGGAATTCATGTTTAATTAATTAATTTCAGATCGACGAAAAGAAATTAACCTACTTTGGAAATATACATTGAATCATTCGAATCGAATGAGATCGAATTAGACCATAATGATCTACTTGAGAGTTTAAAAGAAATAAGGTATAAATCGTGTATAAATAATTGGGCACCTAGCGTCCCTTCAATCAGGAAGTTGACATTTTTATTTCGTTTCCACAGTTACGATGGACGAACAAATTTTCTATTATAACTGAGATATTTTAATAAGTGATTAATACTTCGTGAAATTAAATGTGACTGAAGACACGTATTTCGATTATTTTAATATCTCAACATTGAACAGACATAAATAAACTCACTTGAACTGAAATGAGATTAATCTTCAATCACTTTCAATTATTGCTTTTTCATTTATTCGTGTTAAATGTCGAAACTGCATGCGTTACGATTAAATTAAAAAAAAATTCCATTGAATTGTATTGCATATGTCTGCAGTAATTTAAAACTGTCCAAATTAAAACTTGTGCACAATAATGTACCTTTCATGTTCTCGTGATTACTGTATATTGGCCGTCGTCGATCACCGGTGAAAAAGAACGAAAAAGAACATATAACGCAAATACATACGGGGGTGCGATCGTTGGAGAAAAACAGTGTCGGTGGAAAGAAAAATAAAACAAGGCGATGCAACGTAATTTTGTACAAGTGGAGTTTATTCGAACGAAACGAGATACAAAATGAAAGGTATAAACGGGCAAACGGAAACGAGGTTATGCGAACTTAAAGATAACGGGGATCTCGGGGGTTTTACGTACTACAGCCTTTACACTGCACGACTAAGGAAAACATTATTACAAAAAGTGTGTCGCGCGGGCGCGCGCACGTCTCACACTCATTCCAATCGACAGCAAGATTCACACTCATGCGCACTCCCGCGGTCCCGCATCCTACGAATACACGTATTCCTGCTTCACGCTAAGCGTTAGCAGCCTGCTCTTTGTGACTTTGTGAATCTGGCTGGCTGATTAATCGCCAGGCGGATATCTCTTTTGACCCTGCGGAATTAATTACCGCCGCTGGGAAGCCGAGATTGTTCGCGGCTTTTCTAAGACGAAATCCATTGATAACGATACGATTATAGTCGAATTAATATCTACATACGTATGAATATTTGCTCACATGAATGACAACATGACGCGTGACTTTGCAATTATTGCAACCAGAGTGTCCGTGTCCACTTTTGAAAATGTGTAAAAGTCGTGCAGGGGAATGCACGATTAACATGCAAAAATATGTGATATATGTAAAGTGGAGTGTGTGCAATTATTGCAACGTTCAGCAGACGAAGGAAATTTCTACTTGAATCCCGTCCTTTTCAATTGCGTTTATTCAAGTCACGCAAACATTCGCAGTTTAGACTACGATCGTTCCGATTCAAGCGAAACGGAACGAATATCTTTGAACGAGATAAATTATACAAGTCCATGGAAAACGAGAATAATTGCGTGGACCGGTAATGGCGTCGACGCGCGTTTAACTTGTAATTGAAATAGACCCGTGTAATCAATTAAAGGTGTAATTTGTGACCAGCGGTACACACAAATTACAGCCGCGTGTGTTTAACCATTCTGTTGAAACAGAATGGACCACCCCGTCCCTCCCTTCGAAACTATAATCCACATCGCGTTCGAAAAAGGTTTCGCGCCGTTTCTCCTCTCGTTTTTCCTCACGGACTTTCGATCTTGAAAGCGAAATGAACGAAAAAAGCTCGCGAGCCTGACGATTCAACGCGCGTTAAACCTTTGTAGTTGCTCCAAGATCTCTCCTTTTCAACTCACAAAGGCAACGCCAGTCGGAGAAATGCGCGGAACGAAAGAGAGAGAGAGAAAAAAAGAGAGAAACAAGATTTCAAGGCCACTTACCTTACGCCGAAGCACGTTGATCTTCCGGTCTTTGATGTCCATGTGATCCTTTAGCTCTGTCAGCTCGGTGTTCATGCGATTCCGCTCCTGTTGCGCCTGCAACGCTGCCTCCGTTTTCTTCTCGATCATCCGGTTCTTCTCCTCGAGCCGTTGCCGCATTTCCTCCACCTGCACGCACGCAACCACGCACACCAGGTCATCGTACGGTCAACGTGTACGGGGGTGGGAACAGGAACGATTCAGTCCGCATTGCACGGGTGGCGTTCTGCACGCGACGTGAAAACGGTACCAACAGTCCAGCGGAGATTGGGGAGGGAGCCGGAGGAGGGAAACTTTGCACGACCCAGTTTCCTGCAATCCTTCCTTTCTCCTATAACGACCTCCCCTAAAGTCGATTTTCCCAGTTTCAACCGCCGTGCATCGGTCTCCCTTCAACGATCCCTCGCTTTGTACGTCACTGCCGCGTCTACCAGTGCACTTGCCAACGCGTTTACCATCACGTTTGCCAATGCATTTACCAGTTCATTCGTTCGAAATTTCAAATTTGAACCGATTACCACGGGAAGTGGGAGATTTTGTAGAGAGGACTTGTTTTTTCCTTTTTGTACTACAGGTTCTACAGGGTGTCAATAGGTGAGTAAACGTTTGTTATCTTTCTCTACCGTTTCTAAGGGAGAAGAAAGGTCATATAAATCTGCATGGCTTCGAAAACTCTATCTTCCCGAGATATACGTTTTCTTGATTTAAATCCTTTGCAGATGAAGTCTGAGAATTTCCTTCATAATTACAACGCGAGAGTTTGGATTTTTCTGAATGATATCAATTCTAAATCAACGGTTGGCACAAATATGTCATAAATGAAGGTTATTAATATCTGGCATGTTGATATCTCAATTAGAGATTGGAATAAAATTGAGATTAAAATAAAAGAGAGTTATGGAAATTGGAATAAAAAGTGTGGAAATTTCGAATGAACAGATTTTCACGGGGAGAGAAAGAGGCTTTATAGAAATCGAGGAATGACCTGTTTAGAAGTTGTACTATGGGCTTTATGAACTTTAGTTTTAAAACTCGTGATTTACGAAGCTGTGAAATGTTTGAACTTGCCGCATTATTTTGCATTAGACGATAAACTTCTCGTAACTACCCCATAAATTATTTTACACAGGTTAAGAGCTTCGTGAAAATTGTCGATGTATAAACTCTTCTTAAGAATTGATCATTGATTGGTCGTACATGAAGCTTTGATAAAATTCCATCCTCGAGTGGAATCTTCGTAGAGAATTTATTGGGTCGTGCTAAGTTGGCTGGAAATGGAAAGATATCTCGATTCTTTGAAGTATTATCTTTCTGTATAAATAGAATTCTGTTAGAAATTTATGCGAGACAAAGACTCTCATTGATTAGAATTTTTTCACTTTAGAAGAGGTAGGATTTTCGTAAAGTGAAGTAATAAATAAAATAAAATTTAATGAAACGTTGATATATAGTACACACCTCAGTTCATAAATAATTATTTACAGAAAGTAAAATTAGAAAATTATTGGCAACTTAGTGAGAATTCATTTCGTTTGGCAAATTGAGATTATTTTTCTATTTCTAAATATTTCACTTAATTCATTGACAATTTTTTCAATAAAATTGAAGCATTATTGAAGTTAATATTTAGTGGATAATTTTCATTATTTTCCTATAGTTCCTACACTTCCTATTAGGTGTAGAAATTATTTACAGAAAACTGAAATATATTTTAGTTTAAGAAGTTACCTTCGTTACTTTCTATGCATTTATTCCATATATTAGGCAATCTTTGAATTCTTTCTCTAAACAAAAGATAGCAGTTTTGAATAAAAAAGTAATAAATTTTTTCAGTCTCTTCAAATATATTGATTAGATGATGTTAAATGATGTCAAATCGAAACAAATGATGAACTAAAGGGACTAGATAAATAAACTGCTACTTATCGTGTACTTTTCAATTGAAAAACAACAATAGAAAATACTGCGTTGGACAAAATTATGTCCAATATTGCTACGTGATTAATAGCATTTCTTCGCTTTGTGTTCTCCTTCTTTTGAACTCGAATTTGAAGTCTTTGAAG